TAAAAAAATCATAAGCATTGTACATTCATGCCCAAATATAATCTATTTGAGTTTCATAAATAGCGTAGGATTTAGTAGTAAAGCGTTAGAACTGATAGCGGATTTATACACGAATCTGAAGTATCTCAATCTATGCGATGATCGGTCAGGTGGCTTTAGGGGCTTTCGTGCTCGAGAGATAGATGATGAATGTCTAACTGCAATCGCAGATTCATGTCATAAATTAGAATATCTAAATATTTCTAATCGCACAGAGTTTTCTGAAATAGCGATTTGTAATGTTATTCGTTCTTGTCCAAGACTCCAACGACTTAATCTTAGCTATTGTAAAATTACTGATATAACTATCGAAGAAATTGCTAAACCAATTCTTAATTTAAAATATCTAAATCTGAAAGGGTGTTTTAAAATTAGCAAAGAAGTCATAGATCAGCTAAATCCAAATACCCATGTCGAGAATTACCAGGATCCGAATGATATTTGCGTTGAAATAGAGCGAGTGATAGAGCTATTATTAACACAGCCTCAGTCGCCGGAGGTTGCTAATATTGGACCTCAGTTTCACCAGTCATTTCGACATCCTAATTCCAGTATGTTTATGACAGTTGATTCTGGTGCTGATAACCCATTATAGCTATAAACAGAGAAACACCAAGGAATTATTTTGAAAGAATACTAGCTGATCAAGCAGGATGCTGGTACTCTACCGATCTAAGTATGCGAGATAATCAGATGCGCCAGCGACATAGAGCTGGTGAAAGAATATTAGCCCCAGAATGGTAGTACTCTACCGATCTAACTAATCCGTAGCAGTGATCATTAGCTTGGAAGATTTTTTTCGCATTTAGATATATCCTGTGTAAGAAAAAAATATAAATTAGCTAACCTATTCTAGACATTGATACTGGCTGACACTAGATGGATTTTTGACGAATATTTCATACAATTGTTAAGGAGAGACCTTTGGGAATAATGGTAGCCCCTCTCCAGTAAAATAAAACTTTTTTACTCCTCTATCGATGAATTTTT